AGGTGCTTCAACACCCGACCTCAGGTGAATCCAACCCACCTTGGCCCTCCCCAAAGTGCTGGGATCACAGGCGTGAACCCACCTTGCCTGGCCCCTTGACCATTTTTTTAATTAGAAAATAGAAAAAGAGGGGCTGGTCCGTGGTGGCTCACACCTGTAATCCCAGCACTTTGGGGAGGTCCAAGGTGGGTGGATCACGGAGGTAAGGAGTTCAAGACCACAGGACCCAACGTGGTAAAACCTGTTCTACTAAAAACACAAATTTTTTTTTTTTTTTTGGAGATGGAGTCTCATTCTGTCACCCAGGCTGGACTGCAGTGGTGCTACTTTGGCTGTCTGCAACTTCTGCCTCCTGGGTTTCATCGATTCTCTCTGCCTGAGCTTCCCAAGTAAGCTGGGATTACAGGCACCTGTAGTTTTTGTATTTTTAGTATGGATGGGGTTTCGCCATGTTGGCCAGTCTGGTCTTGAACTCTTGACCTCAGGTGACCCGCCCGCCTTGGCCTCCCAAAGTGCTGGGATTACAGACATGAGCCACCATGCCTGGCCCACTCCCAGCTTTTAAAATTCTTTTTCCTTTTTTTTTGAAACAGGGTCTTGCTATGTCACCTAGGCTGCCAGGCTGGAGTGGAGTGGCATGACCGTGGTCGCTGTAGCCATGACCTTCTTGACTCAAGCGATCATCCCACCTCAGCCTTCTGAATAGCTGGGGCTACAGGCATGTACCACCATGCCCAGCTAATTTTTAAATTTTTTGTAGAGATGGGGTTTTGCATATTGCCCAGGCTAGTCTTGAACTGCTGGGCTCAAGTGATCACCCGTTCTTTCTTTTTTTGTGTGTTTTTTTGAGACAGTGTCTCACTCTTGCCCAGGCTGGAGTGCAGTGGCACAATCTCAGCTCACTGTAGCCTTGACAATGTGGGCTTAAGTGATCCTCCCACCTCAGCCTCCTGAGTCGCTGGGACCACAGGCATGCACCACTATGCCTGGCTAATTTTTGTATTTTTTGTAGAGACAGGGTTTCACCATGTTTCCCAGGCTGGTTTCGAACTCCTTAGCTCAAGTGAATTGCTTACCTTAGCTTCCTCAAGTGCTGGGACCACAGACATGAGCTACTGCGCCCAGCCACTTGTTCTTAAAATAATGTATAATAGCTTTAAAACTGTAAGATGAATATGGAAATATAGGAACTTTTAGACGTAGTCCAGTTTTTTTTTTTTTTTTTTGGAGACAAGAGTCTTGCTTTTGTTGCCCAGGCTGGAGTGAAGTGGTGCGATCTTGGCTCACTGCAACTTCCGCCGCCCAGGTTCAAGCTTTTCCTGCCTCAGCCTCCTGAGTAGCTGGGATTACAGGCGCCCGCCACCATGGCCAGCTAATTTTTGTACTTTTAGTAGAGGACAGGGTTTCGCCATGTTGTCCAGGGTGGTCTCAAACTCCTGACCTCAGGTGATCTGCCCGCCTTGGCCTCCCAAAGTGCTGGGATTACAGGCGTGAGCCACCACGCCCAGCGTGTCCAATGTTTTTACGTAGGTCAAAAACCACATATACGTTAGTATGAGTGGTTGTAGATTCACACATTCTTCTCATATAGTATATGTCGTTACAAGTAAGTTATGAAAAATTTAGGCCAGGCGAGGTGACTCATGCCTGTAATCCCAGCACTTTGAGAGGCAGAGGTGGGTGGATCACCCGAGGTCAGGAGCTTGAGACCAGCCTGGCCAACATGGTGAAACCCTGTGTCTACTAAAAACACAAAAAAATTAGTGGGGCATAGTGGTGTGAGCCCATAGTCCCAGCTCCTCGGGTGGCTGAGGCAGGAGAATTGCTTGAACACAGGAGACGGAGGTTGTAGTGAGCTGAGATCGTGCCATTGCACTCCATCCTGGGCAACAGAGCGACACTCTGTCTCAAAAAAAAAAAAGTTATGAAACATTTGTTTGAGGAATCAAATAAAATGTTAATCTCATTATGTGCTTTATGAAGTTTGAATGCTGTTTTGTCACCTGTTCTGCTTTTAATTAGTATAACCTGAATTTGGTGACGTACTGGTTTTTTTTTTTTTTTTTTAATTCAGGCAGCTAATTCTTGATGGTCAATGGGATGAAGTTCTTCAGTTCATTCAGCCTCTAGAATGTATGGAAAAATTTGACAAAAAAAGGTAAGATTTTATCTAAAGTTTTTATTGTCTCATCATTGGTAGAAGCTTAGCAAAACAATGAACAAAAATTTTTATTTTTATTTTTCTTTCTCCACTGGCTTTGAGCAGAGAGTAAACAAACTGATCTCTCTCTGTCATCCAGGCTGGAGTGTGGTGGCATGATCACAGCTCACTGCAGCCTTGGTCTCCTGGGCTCAAGCAATCCTCCCACCTCAGCCTCTCAAGTAGCTGAGACTACAGGCATGTGCCATCAGCCTAGCTAATTTTTGTAGTTTTTCAGAGTTGGGGTTTCACCATGTTGCCCCAGCTTCCCCTGTGTTCTTTTGGATTATTTTAAGTTGATTTAATGTTCACTGACCTTTTCTTCTGCTGTTAGCAATCTGATGATAAATTGTGAATTTTTAAAGACAGGTTCTTGTTCTACCACCAGGCTGATGTGCAGTGGCATGTGTGTGGCACTGCAGTTTCAAATTCCACAGTGAATTTTTCACTTAGAATATTATGCTTTTCATTTTCAAATTTGTATAATTTTTTTGTAAGATTTTTCCATCTGTTCGTTCATTATGATTATATTTTTCTTTAGGTCCTTCAACATACTGAGAGTAGCTGCTTGTTTGCTTGTTTGGTAATTTGGACTTGTGCTTATATCAGGCTCAGTCTCTAATGATTGCCTTTTCTCTTAACTGGGAGTCACTTTTTGTTTTTTTTTTTAACTATATCTAATTATTTTGTAAATGTAATCTGCACATTGTAGCTTCACTCTTGAGACTCTGAATTCTGTTCTCTTCCTACATAAAAAGTTTGATTTTTATACAGGCAATTATTTAACTTAGGTAGCTTCAAAATGCAAACTCTTTCTCCCCTCTTACGGATACCAGCCAAAATCTCTGCTCAGTTCTTTGGCCTTTCATCTGTTTTCTCCAGACTCCTTGGAGTCTCCCTTACATCTTTACAGTTTAGGGGATAGCCAGGGATTTGGGTACCTAAGTTTATACAGTAGATTTTGGTATGTTTCCTACTGTGACTCCCTCCTTTTTTTGGATCTTCCACTCATTTTTCAGCTGCTCTGGCAGTACCAAACTTTTTTTTTGAGACAAGGTCTCATTCTGTTGCCCAGACTGGAGTGCAGTGGTATGAACACAACTTACTCTAGCCTTGACTTCCTGGGCTCAAGTGATTTGCCTGCTTCAGACTCCTGTGTGGCTGGGACCACAGGCATGTGTCACCCCGCTAGGCTAATTTTTAGATTTTTTATAGAGACCAGGTCTCACTTTGTTGCCCAGGCTGGTCTTGAACTTCTGGGCTGAAACAATCCTCCTGCCTTGGCCTCTCAAAGCACTAAGATTACAAGTATGAGCCATTTTGCTCAGTCAGTACCAGACTTTTCAAGCCACAGCATTCTGTTTGAGTTCTAGCTCACACTGTGTGAACTGGGGAGTGCCCTCAACTGGAAAGCCTTATGCCCTTGAATCTGACCTCTGAAATTTCGGTGTTTTTATTTTTATTTTTTCTTTGAGACGCATTTTTTGTATTTTTAGAGATGGGGTTTCACTGTGTTGGCCAGGCTGGTCTCGAACTCCTGACCTCGTGATCCACTCACCTTGGCCTCCCAAAGTGCTGGGATTACAGGCTTGAGCCAACGCACCTGGCAAATTTCTCTTTTTTTAAGGGTTGACTTCCCTCTAATTGTGCCAGCTTTTCAAATGCATTCAAAATAGTCATTTTTTGAGGCCAGGCATGGTGACTCACGCCTGTAATCCCAGCACTTTGGAAGGCCAAGGCAGGCAGATCACCTGAGGTCAGGAGTTAGAGACCAGCCTGGCCAAGATGGCAAAATCCTGTCTCTACTAAAAATAAGAAAAAAAATTGGCTGGGTGTGGTGGCACATGGTTGTAATCCTGGCTACTTGGGAGGCTGAGGCAGGAGATTTGCTTGAACCTGGGAGGCAGAGATTGCAGTGAGCCGAGACTGTGCCACTGCACTCCAACCTGGGCGACAGAGCAGGACTGTGTCTCAATCAGTCAATCCATAAACAAATAAAATAGTCATTTTTTGTATTTTATGTAGGATTTATTGTTGTTATATGCAGAAAGTTAGCCAGATACAAGTTACTCCATCATTATCAGAAGTTGAACCTCTTGTTATTTTTTGATTTGCTGTTCAGACCATGCTGCTTGATATTTCTTTGCATTTGTACATTCTTCACTTATCTGGAATATTAATCCCTTCCCCATCTCCTGCCTTTACCTGGTACAATTCTGATTGTCTTCTGAGAGTCAGTTATTATGTCTTTTTTTTTTTTTTTTTAAACTTTCCACCCCTTTTGTACAATTGGTTTCATACTTCTTTGAGACCTTGCTGAATTCTGTGAATATTTCATATAATTTATTAGGTGACCCTCTTTTTTAAGGCAGGGGTTTTGTTTTATTAGACACAATTTGCTACTACAATAGTGGCTGAAAGAATGACTGAAGGTTCATTATTTTTTTCTTTCCAGAGTTAGAAATACTTTTTCTATAAATTGCTTTGGGCAATAAAGCTTTTGATTCTTAGACAACTTAGGTAGACTCTTTGCTATCCCTTCCCTCACTGAAAAATTCTTGTTAAAAAGCTTTAAGTTGGGACCAGGTACAGTGGCTGAGACTTGTAATCCGAGCACTTTGGGAGGCTGAGGCAGGAGAATTGCTTGAAGCCAGGAATTTGAGATCCATCTGAGCAACAAAGTGAGACCCAGTCTCTATAAAACAATGTTAAAAATTGGCTGGGTGCTGTGATACACAATTGTAGTCCTAGCTGCTTGGGAGGCTGAGGCAGGAGGATTGCTTGGGCCAAAGTTTGAGGCTGTAGTGAGCTGTGATCATGCCACTGTACTCCAGTCTGGGTGACAGAGCAGAAGACTCTGTCTCTATTTAAAAAAAAAAAAAAAAAGCTCTAAGTCTCTATTTCGTAACGTTTTAGAAATGTTAATTTTCTCCTACCCTTTCAGTCCCATTTTTTATTAGACTTTTCTCATATTTAAAAAGAAAATATTTGATTTAATCTTTCTACAATGTATATGTATATAAAAATGTAACATACCCCATAAATATATACTACTATTTGTCAATGAAAAATTTTTTAATAAAGAAAAAACAGAATGTAAGGTAAACAAAACATTTTGGATATAAGACTTTTGATTTAATATTAGGTAACATTTGATATCTTCTATAAAAATTGGATTTTTGTTTACAATTAATATTGGAAATAGAAATTCATTCTCTGAGTGTTAAATTGTGATTACTTGTGACTGAACTTTCTTCAGTTATGGCTTCAATATGATAAGAAGCCTTGTAAATTATTTGATTATTTGAATAATTTTCTTAAAGCAAAAGTACTTATATAGTAACTTCTAAGTATATTTGACATCAGACATTGGAAAAATTAATGTTTCATTTTTTTCCACAGGTTTCGTTATATTATCCTGAAGCAGAAGTTTTTAGAAGCTTTATGTGTTAACAATGCAATGTCAGCAGAAGATGAGCCCCAGCATGTAAGATTTTTATTCCTGAAGGTTTGCGCCCTAGTCTTGTTTTCAGTCATAAGTATTTTAGTCACTGAAACGAAGGATTAGCATCACAAGTTTTCAAAGTTTTTATGAGCTGGGATGGGGCAAGATCTGGTGTTTTCCAGGTGTAGTATTTTCAATCTGTAGCGCTTCTAAACTTGTTCCATGGTTTAAACCAAGATATATAAATAGCTGGCTAGCTGAAGCGTGTGTGCATCTCTCTTGTTTAAGGTAAGTCAGCAATAGCCAAAGTTTGACTTGATGACTCTTCCTCATTTCTTCTTTTTTTAATCCCAGAAGTGGGTTGGTTATGTTTATTTCCTTTTTCTCTTGTCTTTTCCGTATTTTCTTTGATCCAGAGATAGTTTTTTTGCTGAAATGTTTATCTTCATGATTATTTAAATTTAATGAAATTAAATTCATTTTGATTAGGAAAGTGACTTTTAAAGATTCAGTGTTAATACTAAAACCGAGAAAACTTTTATTAAGTTCTAGTAACTGTTAACTGAAGTAAAGTGTCTTAGTCCATTTGAGCTTCTATAACAAAATATCATAAACTAGGGGGCTGGTAAACAATAGAAGTTTATTTCTCACAGTTCTGGTAGCTGTAAAGTCCAAGATCAAGGTACCAACAGATTCGTTGTCTGGTGAGGGCTTGTGCTCAGGTTCATGGATGGTGCCTTCTAGCTGTGTTTTTCACCTGGTTAAAGAGGCTAGCTAGCTCTCTGGGGTCTCTCATATGGGCACTAATCTAATTCATGAGGGCTGAGCATTTATAACCCAGTCACCTCCCAAAGGCCCGGCTTTTCTAATACCAGTACCTTGTGGGGTTAGGATTTCAACATAGGAATTTTAGGGAGGCACAAACATTCAGACTGTGGCAAAAACCAAAGGATTTTACAGTGGAGACTTTCAGATAGAGAAATATTTGCCAGACAATGATGTTCAAAAGTGAAAAGAACACTGGAACATGAGTTAGGAGACCTATTTTTTATTCTGTCTTCGCCACTAATCAACTGAATTACCTTGGTAAATGTGTACCCTGACTTTTCCCATATGTAAGATATGGAGGCTGGACCAGGTGAGCGCTGAGGTTCCTTACATCATTAAAAGCTTGTGATTCAAAGACAGTATTCACTATACAAATTATTATAATTTGTCTCTCAGCTAAGCTTCCTTTTTGGTCTGTCTGGATTGTTTTGTAGTAAGTCAACTGTAGGCTTTCCCTTTCCTTTTTTTTTGAGGCAGAGTCTCGTACTGTCGCCCAGGCTGGAGTGCAATGGCGTGATCTTGGCTCTCTGCAACCTCAACCTCCTGGGTTCAAGTAATTCTCCTGCCTCAGCCTGCGGAGTAGCTGGGATTACAGGCACCTGCTACCACGCCCAGCTAATATTTTGTATTTTTATTAGAGACAGAGTTTCACTATGTTGGGCAGGCTGGTCTCGAACTCCTGACCTCGTGATCTGCCCGCCTTGGCCTCCCAGATTGTTGAGATTACAGGTGCGAGCCACCACGCTCGGCTCCCTTTTCTTGACTCTCTATCCCCACACAATTTTGCTCTAAGGTAAGTTAGGACTAACAGAATGGCTCTTTTGCCTTTTGGGTAAGCTGGAATAATAGCAGGGTTTATAAACAGTTGAATATTGGCATGCTTCAATTTTTATTTCTAGAAAAATTATTCTTACCCTTAAAAAATTGTATATTTGAGAGCTGTGGCACACCTGTGGTCCCAGCTACTTTAGAGGCTAATGATCACTTGAGTCCAGGAGTTCAAGGCTGTAGTGCACTATATTTGTGTGTATGAATAACCCCTGCACTCCAGCATGGGCAGAAGAGTGAGATCCCATCTTAAGCCTGAATTATAATAGAACAATGTTTTTATAGATAAAAGTTTAATGTGCTAATTAACCAAATTTTTTATTATTTTTATTTTAGTTGTGAAAACATTTTGGTTCCTGTCTTGAAAGCTGTTGCATATCCGACAGATTATATGAGTATTCTGTGGCAATATAATTTATTCTTTGTACTCTTGTTGTTTTCATATTTTACAGCATGTTTTTTATAGTGATTATTTGATCATTTGTATTTTTCTTACAGCTGGAATTTACCATGCAAGAAGCTGTGCAATGTTTACATGCTCTAGAAGAATACTGTCCTTCTAAAGATGACTATAGTAAGCTCTGTTTGCTTTTGACTTTGCCTCGTCTGACCAATCATGCCGAGTTTAAGGACTGGAATCCCAGTACCGCACGAGTTCACTGTTTTGAAGAGGCTTGTGTCATGGTTGCAGAATTCATCCCTGCTGATAGGAAGCTAAGTGAAGCTGGTTTTAAAGCTAGTAACAATCGTTTATTTCAGCTTGTAATGAAAGGCCTACTTTATGAATGCTGTGTAGAATTTTGTCAGAGTAAAGCAACCGGAGAAGAAATTACAGAAAGCGAAGTGCTTCTTGGCATCGACCTCTTATGTGGTAATGGTTGTGATGACTTGGATCTGAGTTTACTGTCATGGCTTCAGAATCTTCCATCTTCTGTCTTCTCTTGTGCTTTTGAACAGAAAATGCTTAATATTCATGTTGACAAACTTCTGAAACCTACAAAAGCTGCATATGCTGATCTTTTGACTCCTCTTATCAGCAAACTCTCTCCCTATCCATCGTCCCCAATGAGAAGACCTCAATCAGCTGATGCCTATATGACCCGCTCTCTGAATCCTGCTTTAGATGGCCTCACCTGTGGACTAACCAGTCATGATAAGAGAATTTCAGACCTTGGAAACAAAACTTCTCCAATGTCACACTCCTTTGCTAACTTCCATTATCCAGGGGTACAAAACCTCAGTAGAAGTCTCATGCTTGAGAATACAGAATGTCACAGTATTTATGAAGAATCCCCTGAGCGGTAAGCATTTGCTTATAAAAATTAGGAAATCTTAGGCCGGGTGAGGTGGCTCATGCCTGTAATCCCAGCACTGTGGGAGGCCAAGGCGGGCAGATCACGCGGTCAGGAGATCGAGACCATCCTGG